GATGCTCGCAATATCTCATTATGCACGCTAGAATCTATTTGTGAACAATAGCTCACAATATTCATTAGTGATATATCGCGGTACTAGTGAAGTATAACATGCAGAATTTAGCATAGATTCTAGGCTACTGTGGGCCTTAACATAGTCCGAAAAATAATTTACGTACAAGATTTGATACAAAAAATGTACTTGGCTTTTGTTTTCATTTCTAAAAATGTAAAACCATCATCAATTAGATTGTAGAAAATATGTGACATTGTATCTCTAATGCCATTATCTGTGTACCTGGTTTGAACTAAAATGGTCTGCACATGTCTGACAATTCACAAATCTGTAAGTTTCCTTTTTTGAATCAAAAGTGCATGTATGTATTTTAATACCAATGCATCCACACATTTAGACATTGGTTGAAGGGTGTGTGATAGTTCTGTCATAGGAATGCCATTTTAAAATTACACAAGTACAATATAGTTCTTTTTTTTTTTAGCTGGACAATCTATCATTAATGGAAATAAACACAATACGTCCATTTTTGACACTCGCATTGGATCATATGCATACACTGAGAATGAACACGCAGCAAAGTAGTCGGGCCGCACCAACACAAGATTGAACTTCACTTGAGCTTCCAAGATTCAGATGACATCTCCAACAGATGGAAATCAACTTTAATAATACTTGGCATCTATTTTAATAAAGTATTCATTACTGAAATGTTTATTGCTTTGATATATGTCAGTAATGGGTACTACCGTATTTCTCTTTATCGACTATAATATAATCATTTTCTGTATGTGAAGTCTACATCTCAAATGTACCACTAACTTTATGCACATTAATGTGTTGAAATGCAAATTCAGTACTATACACTGCAAAAACTTTCTTAAATGCTACTTTATTCTATTTACATCCAGTCTGTTTTAGTCTTAAATTTAAACTTATTTTTCACAAGCTTATTCATTTATGTATTAATATACTAGTATACAACAATTGCATCTCCTGTGTCCCATTAGCTATTGTTCATTTCAGTCGTGTGTATTTTTGGAAGGCTATTCAACAAAATAAATATAGTTATGAACATGGATATAAACAGTTCGACAGACAGAATTATTTCTCAGAAATACCAAAGTGTGCTGGTCTGTCATGGCTGAGGGAAGTGACTGATCAATGGCTAGCAATAATAACGCTCAATTTTTGGCACTGTAATGGCGGTGTTATTACTTAAGTTCCAAATTCAATTATTTCACATTCTTAAAGGGACATTAGCTGTAACTGTCTGATAAAAACCATTTGTGTTATTACTGTTGAAACGTGGACACTGAAAGCATATCATATACTGATGTACATTGAATCACCTGCAAAAAAAGACGGCTGCAGGGTTGTTTCCAGGTCTTCAGAGGGCGCCATCTATTGAATCAAGTGACTGTGCAAGAAAAGTCAAATACATTGCCATCTTGATAGGTTAAGTGTCTAATTTCCCTATGCTTTTACGCTGTGTAGTTACATTTTTAAAACAAGCAGCCAGTCGGCCGAGATTGCTCTACTGTTTGCAATGCACATTTCAATTAAAGAACTGAAGATATTAGAAAATGAACAATATTTATAGTATCAAAGCAATCTGACTTGAAGATATCATCACTAAATAAACAAATCTAAGAAATCTGCCTAAGGTACATATATGCCAGGTATCAAAGCAATAAGAATTGTAATTTTCAAGAAGTCGTCGGAAAAGTAAAACCTTGACAATGACAGTCACTCGTATGACCAGAATCACAGCTGTTGCTGCTTATTAAAGGAACACAGCATCCAATTAATCTATTACAATTTTTTATTTGAAGATGGAGAGTTATCTATCACTTAGTAGACTTATGAATAAATCACAAGTTGAAATATTTGTTTATTCACTTCAATTCACACATTTGAACATAAATTAAAATTACCAGAAATGTATTATTGTCTTGATCATGTTACGTCTCATCAAGTTTAAATCAGTTGTATAATACAGCATGTTACACATCCAGTAGAGCACATGGTTCTGTAATTGGACACGTTCAATCAGAATTAGTGTAGCTTATGGCAATAGTATAAATAAAACAAAATAGTGAGATGTAGTTTTAAAAATTGCGTTATATATGTACTGCTATACATTTTGAGTGTTCATGAATGCAATGATTATCAATTTGAGTATTCTCTGTAATTTAAAATCAAATTTCAGTCGTTTTTGAAATGTCATGGCAATTAAGTTATCCACAATTATCAGTTTCCTCATTAAACAAAGTAGGGAAGTACTAATACAACACTGCCATCTCATGCACTTGTACATAGCAAGAAAGCATATCATTAATAGAATACAACTGCAAAAGTCGGTAGTAGTAAGCATTTAACTAAAAAAAGAATATGTTCTGAAATTCATTTTTACCCCTGCTAAGCATAGAATTAGATCATGAATATTTCACAAATGAGGCACTGCAATTATGTAAATTATATCTAAATTTTCTATAAGACAACATCACTGACTATAACGCTTAAAGATGACCTAGATGAGCAGATATCTATTATTATAACAAGTACGTGTCTTGTATGACTTCTATGTTTTATTGCCAAATATATCATTGGTTTGCTGGGTGACGCGTATAAAAGTTGTACGTCTGCTCAGTTCCTTGAGTTTTTGTGCCCCTACGTATGTACACGTAGAACGAACTCCACCGAGGATATCAAGAATCGTGTGTTCAACATCGCCTCGGTATTCCACTTCGACAGTTTTTCCTTCAGAAGCTCTGAAAGTGAATTTAGAAAAATAAACATCACATAGGGAAACCAAAGGTGATTTGCCTAAACACTCATTAGCAATAACATCAATTATATTAGTAAATTAATTAACTGTCACCATGGTTACATCCAAGTGGTGTAAAATCCTGTAGTAGGGGGGTTGGAGATTATAGCATAGAAACTGAAATGTTTGTCATTGAAAAGGAATTTGATAGAATATACAATGAAGTAGTGTGATCAAATATAGGTTTCATCTCATGACCAGTACAGTTTCACAACTTACTGGTACATGTACATGTAAATATTTATAGATAATCCCACAATATCTTCACTTTGATTGACGTCAGCAGACATTAGTGATTACGATACTGCCAGAGTTTTGTATTAATCTAAACCACAGTAATCACATGTGTCAGCTGAAATCAACATAATATTGTGAGATTATATACAGACCCGCCAGAAAGTATTTACGCACCACACTACAGACAGCTACTACCTACGATATCATACAATAAAATAAACTCAATAACGGTTTGAATAAATATATTTATATATCTAATAAAATATGCGTTTTTACACACAATAAAAACATCAAAATTGTCATTGTCATGCAGGATTGAATAAAAACGGCAGTCTGAACGAAACAG